ACCAGCTCCAGGTCCCAGAAGGTGAAGTTCTGAGTCCTTCCCTCTTCCTGGCTGCCGATTCTACCACCACGTTCAACGTCCATCATCGCTCCCCAGAGCAAAGGGGGGGAGGGTCCGCTGCCCCTCTGCCGCTGCCAGCCCCTGCGGCCTCTACCCCTGCCTCAAGCAGGCCTAGCAGCTTGGCCTTCTCGCCTCCCTCGCCCTTCACAGCCTGGGTGGAGCAGGGGTGACCTCCCGTTCACACAGCCTCTTGTGAGTGTAGGTGCCTTCCTTCTTCTCTTCCTTCTTCTCTTCCTTTCCTTCCCCTTTCCCTTCCCCCTTTATCCCTTTTCTTTCCTTTTCCCCCTTCCCCTTTCACCCTCTCCCTTTTCCTCTCCTCTCCTTTCCTTTCCTTTCCCCTCCTCTCCTATCCTTTCCTCTCCTCTCTTATCCTCTCCTCTCCTCTCCTCATCTCCTATCCTATCCTATCCTCTCCTTTTCCTTCCTCTCCTTTCCTCTCTCCTTTCCCTCTCTTCTCTTCTCCTCTCCTCTCCTCTTCTACTCTCCTCTCCTCTCCTCTCCTCTCCTATCCTATCCTATCCTATCCTTTCCCTTCCTCTCTTCTCTTCTCTTCTCTTCTCCTATCCTATCCTATCCTATCCTATCCTATCCTATCCTATCCTATCCTATCCTATCCTATCCTTTCCCTTCCTCTCCTCTCTCCTCTGCTTTCTCCTTTCCTTTCCTCTCCTCTCCACATTTATCTTCCCTTCCTTCCCTTCCTCCTTCTTTTATCCTTCTTTATTACGGGGGTCTCCTGCCAATGCCCCCTCCCCTTGCAGTCTTGTCCCTTCTGGGTCCCTTCTTGTACTTCTGGGAAGGCTCAGCTGCTGGGCCACCGACGGGGGGGGGAGTGACGAGCGAGGGGGGGGCTCCTCTCTTGCACCTGCTTGCCCTGGCAGAGGACCCGGGGGGGGGGGCTCTGCCGTTCTTTTCGGGGTGGGGAGGGACAGCTTGGGCACACGCCTCTCTTTCTGTCACAGCTTTACTTAGCTGCCTTGCTTCGTATCGCCATCCGTAGAGCCTGGGGTGGGGCCGGGGGGAGGTCTCCAGGTGGGGGTGCCAGAAACTCACCTGGAGCAGGTAGGTGACGGGGAGCCTTTCGCTGCCGGGGTGGGGGTGACCCTGACCGGGCAGCGTGTCAAGTGGGGTGGGGCTCCTGCGCCGGGCCTGGGTCGCAATGCCCAGCGAAGCCGTGGTGGGGCTGCCCAGGGTCAGCTGGGTTTGGGGGGCCGCTGCCAGCCCTGAGCTCTCGACCGGAGACCCCCAACTGGACGGTGACAGGGAGACCCTGACGGAGGAAGGCTCCCGGGCTGATGGGGGGGGGCACCACCTGGGGTCATCCCCTGCTTGCACCCTCCACTACTCGCCTTTGTAGAGACGTTAGCAGGAAATGTGTCATTTTAAATAATGTTTCTACTTGTAAATAAATGGTATTTTTCTCCCAAGAGTGGTTTTGAGTGTGGCTCTGCAGTGAGTCTTTCCCTGCCTACTTAGAGGTCAGCCCCATCGGGAATTTGGGGGGGTGGGGGGTGTGGAGGCTCATAATCGTGTTGGACTGGACAGGGCTGACCTGCGGCCTAAGGCCAGGCAGTGGGGCAGCAGCCGTGGCCTGGCCAAGAAGCAGGTCCTCCTGCACACACAACTCTCTCGGGAACCTTTCTGGGGTCTCGTATAAAAGGAGGAAAGGCTCGTGAAGATGAA